TAGAAAGTCAGATGTTTCAGACTTATATTTTACATTACATCAATGTCTTTCTACAACAAAAAAATGGCTTTTACATTCCAATTCAAGCCTACACAGTCATTTTGAAGTTGCTTTTATGGGTTTGTTTATCTCATGATTTAAAAGCCTAGACTAAATGTTATCCTATTATAACCAAGTACGTAAAAGACTGTCTATTAATGCACTTTGGTCACATTGATTCATTTTCAATTCTCACTACACCCAACCTACACATACTTAAATAGCTTTATCTCTAGTAAATCATTATTTCTTTCAGATTTTAATAATATATACCAAATAACACATCACCTTATCTATGTTGAGTTGACAAACTGAAAGACCAAAAACTTAATAAGCTTAATAGATCTTCTGAAAGGGATACTGGGTTTACAAACCTAACCACCAAGCACACAAAATTTGGACTCTCTGAAAGGGATGCAGGGTTTACAAACCTAACTACCAAGTACACAATATGTGGACTCTCAGAAAGGGATACCTAGTTAACAAACCTAACCTCCAAGTACACAATCTGTAGACTGTCCAAAGGGGATACCTAGTTAACAAACCTAACTACCAAGTACACAATATGTGGACTCTCTGAAAGGGATACCTAGTTAACAAACCTAACCACCAAGTATACAATCTAAATATCAAGTAAGTAATATTAGCTATGCAGACTGTCTGAAAAGGATGCTGAGTTGACAAAACAAATTAGAGGCATCAGGTGTTCTGGAAGGTTGAGCATGCCCTGTCACATTAATTTGGACTTTGGAACTAGGACTCAATATTTTACAAAAAAAAAACAGAAAGAGACTCTTGAGTTGAAAAACTAAGTTGACCAGAAACTATCAAGAATGTCCTAGAAACAGTGTTACCGGTATTATGACTCTAGGACATTCTAGTTCCAAGATCGCTTTGATAATACAAGGCCAGATTAATCAGTATTTAAAATTTTGAACCCAATTTTATAGTTTCCAAATATTTATAAATTAAATTCCCTACTCCTATATCTAAATATTTCATCTCTAATTGACATTCCTAGTTGGCCGATTCTAATTTAAGTTTTCCCATTCACATATCTCTGTGTAACTACTACAATTTTTGTTTCCTTGTAGCAAAATACCACATATTTGTCATTATAACATTAGTAAAATTATGTCCTGTTTGTATCGTTAGAATTGCAAGGAATATGGTTTATTATTACCATTACCAGCTGATAGAGCTGAATTCCAGATACTACCAGCTGATACAGTCTAATAGCAGATTATACCAGCTGAATTCCAACTACCTATTATGACTACCATAACCACAATCCAAGCTTAAAAGATGTAGTTATTTAATTCATCACATGATAGAGCTTCATACAAGCTTCCTGACATTCCTGTATCACTTCCTGTAAAACTTCTGGTTGCCTACAATTAGTCGAAATAAAGCCCCATCAGTATTCAGAATTGAGGTGAAAAATTTGGACTTTTGCTCTTCAGCAAAACAAAATATCAAGATGTCTGTAAACTTTAAATTATACTAGTATTTATAATCATAATAGAACATCAGATTTATTGAATGTAAGTTTCTATTCTATGGACACTTATCGCTTCATCAGTATTGGCTGATTTAGAAGATACTCTCCTATAGAATTAGAAGCACTGGCCATGATAGTGAAATCTTTATCTGGTCAAGTTCTTCAAGATCCAAACGCTGGAAAACTTGTAATGGTCAAATAGATGCTGTTTTAGTCTCTGATACAGGTATACAAACATTAAAGGCAAAGGCTTAGACATTTCTTTTATTCCCTGTGATATATCTAGAGTCTACTCTATTGTGACAACTAGTTAAGTTAGTTAATCCAACTAGTCCAATATCTAGATAATCAACTTTAAATATAGAAAAACTTAAAAGTCAGACTGCATTCCTTGACACAGAAAAACAAATTAAATATATTATCTGTACTGTAAACAACTTGTTTAAAAGCTCTAATGCAAATTGTCACTTTACCCATCAGAATGAAAATATCTCTCATATAAGATGAATTGTAACTGTGAATCAAGTAACTATAATTGTGGATAAAGCTGACACCTAGTTAAAGGGATTGTAAAGAGGTTTTCTAGCCTTTGACCTTTGACTACTATTTGGGACATTCCAATTCATTGTCAGATGCTCTGTGGTTCATTTCCAGAAAGAGTTCATTCCAATGCATTGTCCGATGCCTGTGGTTCTATTGCAGAAAGATTTAACTGGGAATGACGTAGCTTCCGCAAGAGAATTCATAACCATCATACCACATCCCTTTAACACTTGGAAGAACTGTCAATGAAAACAGAATTTCTTTAAGGAAGACCAAGGCACCACCACAATCCAACATCATGCTGAGCTTTTCAACTGCCACAATGATCTATGATAAAACTACTATATTTTGTTGTAAAAGATCCAAGGTTGTTGCATGGTCAAGGGACACTGATGTCAAATTTCTGAACCTCACCAGCCTCTGTCAGTGACAATGAAGCAGGTCAACATGGAAAAAGCATTTAGTTGTTGTTTAGTTGTTTTTGCCAAGCTGTAGCTGCTGACATTTGAAACCTTCATTAATCTAATCAATTGCAGGAAAGAAGGACAGTAAGTCCTGAATCAGTTGGTAAATAAAATGTAAATGACAAGTCTGGAGCAAATCCTCAGGGACTCTGAACACATGTACTAACACAGTGAGAAAAATAAACACAGGAGAGGTCTGACTGATCCTTTAGTATCATACCAATTACTAATTCAATTATCAGACACATGTTAGCTTTCATACAAACTATATAAGCCAACAAGGAGGGTGTAAAGATGATAGTTGATTGTGCTAGCAGCCTTATTAGAAAATACCAATAAAACAACCTAAATATTGTAAAGATACTTGCTACATCTACCAGTATTGTGCAGTAATAAAAACAGTACTAAGTCAACATAGAGAGTTTAAACAGAGAGAGAAATCAAATCATCCTACAACAGAAACCCAGAATGTTTAAGTAGTATGATGATACACTGTATTAAATACAGTGTCATATACAGAAGTATATATTTCTATAGAACAAGTGTCCTGACAAATTATAGATAATTACAACAATGTTATACAGTGTATGACATATATACTGACCAGTTATTATAGACCATTATTTAACTACTGTATCATATTTATCATAATTATATATATAGGCTCCTGAACAATTAAGAATGTCACCATATATAACCAATGGACCTGGCTATGAGAAATGCAGTCACTTTATTTAATACACAACACAATGTTTTAAATTATCATTTTTTTTTTTACTTTAACTTTCAAGAGCTATTTTTATCTTTTCCATGGGCCAATTTGCTTCAATTTTGAAGACTATTCGAACTTTTTGTAGACATTTTGACCTTTTTCAGACCTTTTAAAAATTCTTATCAGGGGCATTTATGCATTCCTAATGCATACTAATATTCCTATATAGAGATTCAATGATTCCACACAATATGTGTCAATTGTATCACATATTGATTTTACATTTCATAATTCACTATATTTAATAGCTTAGAGGATAATTGAACAATATAGTGTGACAATAATTCTTCGAATATATTTAATAAAGTTCAAATAGACTGATGCATATCAACAATATTCATAACAATTTATCTAAATAGAATCTACAATAACAAAATATGTTAACTAAGTGCTAAATACATCAATTGTAGAACATATAGCCTTTATGTACTTATAAACCTGACTTGTGGTTGTAATTCATGTGTGTTTGCAGACTATTACTAATGGTTATAAATATGGTAACATATATTTATTAATAAACTTTTTCAAATCACTTTCTTGACATTCAGACCTGTATGTGGTTTGATATTTATTTAATTATGAAATATCATATATACGGATATTAAATTCCTAGCCCTGTCAATTATTCAATATCAATGCACATGTGTTCAATATTAGCATAGAAATTAAACTTTCATACGACTGCACAATCAAAGGCTTACAGTGGTTCCCCTCAATTCTGCCCTAGCAGATGCTGATATCAAAAAACAAGTGGTTTCCACCTCATTTTAACCCTAGAGCTTTCCTTGGTAGTGGTGCCAGTGGGGTACAGGGTGGGCATGCCAGTGGGGTACAGGGTGGGCATTTGAAATCTGAACCCTAACAGTTGTCCCCAATCAAGTCTTTCCCTCCTATTTTGTGCCCCTAGTTCCTAAGCACCCTCACCAAGCGATTCTGCCTCTTTTTAATCCCACTTATTTCCCCACCCATTGCAAGTGATTTCCTCCCCTCATAGGCTTATTAAGAAACTTCTCCCCATCCTGTGCTTTCGTAATTTCAATTATATATCTACATACATAATACTGTCTTACAACCACTTTCACTAATTAAGAAGCTGTTTATCTAAGATCAATTTTGATATGTGCAATGTGATCATCAGATTGAAATATACCACTGCATGACCAATCAATGCCTCACACCTACTAAGATACCTATTGGAAACAATCTCTGATAATGTAAGCTATAATGCATGATATATAGGCTGCAATAGGCATAGATAGACAATGCAATACTTCAGTATAATCAATTTCAAAGCCTGAGAGAAAAAAAATATCAATGTGCAACAATGTGTTACTGTAGGTTGGTATTGAACACAAGACTAGAAACCAATTGAGGCATTGTATTGCTATACAACTTCTATTGGAAATTGATTGAACAGATGTAGTAACAATGATGAGGTGATTTCAATATGTAGGCCTGCTGATAGCCTACATGTTGGCCTGAAGAAAAACTCTATCTGATTGTGCATGTATGTAGGGCAATTGAAAATCGTGTTCGGAGATTAAAAAAATATGAAAAGGTATATTAGTACATTGTATAAGCTACAGTAGATCTTTAGACGCGTATGAGTATACCGTATATAGCCTGCCCTAACAAAGCACAACCACTCGTTCACTGCTATAAAAATAACTCAGCTACTCACCCAAAATAAAAAGTTGAAGGCAAACATCAAATATTTGATACAAGTATGACAACTTCCCAAAGCCATTTTTATCCGTTAGTTAGTACTCCAAATTTCACAGAAAACACGAAAACAAAACGAATGTTTCGATCACAAGGCGCAACTCGACTCCTAATCCACAGCAACAGGCGGTTTATGGCTTTCTTAACACTCCTCAATACCCAGCTCGCGACAAACAGGAAATTACGTCACTATTAGAAGCAGACGACTCGGGCTTGTTCAACAGGTTGTAAAAACCTTGATATACAGGAATTGAGGAATGTTGGTAAATTTTGAGCGGTAGTCACTAAGTTTAGTAATGATAAGTTCAAACGATGGCGATTCAAACGCTGGATACAGAGAAAGGAAGATTAAAACGAGGCGCGCGTGCTTCAGGTAACTAATAGCCTAGTCGTCTGCTTGAAATCAAAATGGCGGACAAACAAAGGCGGGATCAAACTTGACTGGGAATTCCAACTCGTGGGAAATCCCACCTGAAGCATAAGAAGACAATTACTGCCTTCGAACACGCCCATCTCTTTGTGTTCTTTGATAATCTGAGAAGAAAGGCATGAAAAACGTTTGACCATTGTCTTTCATCGTCTTTAGGGGCTGATTGACCCCGTCATTTAAGGATTAATTTTCCCGTTACATCTTTATGATGCGTGAAAAGGCTTGTTAAGCATGTAAGAAGTTGTGTAACGTCTTGTAATATCCTTTATAGCCATTCAAACTCACTGGGATGCACAAGGAAAGGTAAAACATAATGAAATGGTGATAGGCCTATGGTTAACTTGTGCTACTTAAATAGTAAATGCAATATATAGTAGGCCTAAGGCACTGTGCGCTAAATTGTGCTTGTTACTTTTCTATCAAATTAAAAGGAAAACCATTTAAAAAACCCTAAATGGAAAAATCAAATTCAAGTAGGCCTTAATATGAGTTGGCTAAAACAAGATCTTACTAACAGGCAAAGCGACTTAGAGGTCTCAACTAGGATATCCTAGCGCTAAGATCGTTTCGAGAATACGTGGCCAGGCCGTGATCTCTAGGGAAAGGGTAAGCACTGTTGGCCCAGTGTTTTGACCAGACACAGACCCAATGTCGAAATACTAGGATTCGAAAGGCTAAGGCAATAATTTGATAATAAATGAAAGTTGGTGAGCTGTAAACATGAAACCTATAAAATTTTAAAAGTTATATAACATTTCGAATTAGGCTACACGTCTTAAGTAATATAATTTATGAAGAGGGTACCAGATTCGACTCTCGGTCTTGGATTCTCTCCAAACTTTGTATTCAAATTTTCTTCTAGGAAAGGATAGAGTGTTTTACTTGCTTTTCCAGATATGCAAGTATCGGAGTTCCGAATTTCAATTGCTCGCATTCCTCATCAGAATGTAAGTCGAACGCTGGTGGAGTCCCGTGGACTTGCTTCAACCAGTCCCCATGGTAGTTGAGCAACTCAAAGCAAGTCAAAGCTGATATTTGGTGACTATGTAAGATCATTGCATTCCTGTGAACCGTTTCTGGTTTCGACCACAGGGAACTGTCGTTATGCTATCTGATGCTGGTAAGCTAGTCTTTGGATAAGAAGCTTCGTCATGGCACATCTTACATGGGGAAGTTCAAGCGTTTAAAAGTCACTGACTATGAACTAGAACCCATTACTCGCGGCTCATTACGATACCAACTTGAAGGTGATAAACTTTAGATAAACCTTTAATATCTTCATATAAAACAACTCCACGATTGTAAGAACTTCTTTAAATTCATATCTCAAGTATCTTTTTTATCTTCAATACCCTGGCTTTAATAACCATGGCGGATATCGTTTGATATGGATATCAAACAATAATCTAGAGGTTTACATCCTCTTTGCTGGGCTTTGTACTATATTGGATTTTGAAGTGTGTGATGAATAAGCCTCTTCCTCCGATGGATCTTCAAAACAACATATCATGTATTGCAAAGATCATGAGCTTGGAGTTTGCACATCCGAGTATTCTGTATTACCCCCACTGTAAATACATACACGAACGGAGTTTTACGTTGTACTATTCTGCAAAACCCCCATTGTAGCCCTATTATAAAGTGTGCACCGTTAAAGGAATACTACCTCCATTTTGTACTTTACTGGACTAATGAATGAAAATGGGATTTCATAATTATCCTACTATTTTTTACTGATTTAATGAAATGAAACAGGGTTTCATATCGTCCTACTGTTCTGTACATTTTAACTTATTTTTCATTTTCGAAGTATTTGTCAATGTAAGGTTAGTTTGGTGAATTAATGGTTGTCTGAAAAAGTAGATGAATGACAGAGTTACGTACCATTGAAAAGTTAAGTGTAGTCTGAAAGCTTGATAAATATACCTTCCCTTTTGTGGACACTGACAAGCAATGTGAAATAAGCAGAAAGCTCAGGCAACGCTATTAAGTACAGAATGAGAGAAGAATTGTGTGATTAACCCCATGGTATCTCCCATTCACAGATAAACGACCAGAAAACATTTATTGAAAGCTATCAGTTTGGTTTGTTGAATTCGACGCCACGCCCTTGAAATTTAAAGATACGATTCAAATGAAATGGCGTTTTACGTGCACCTTATTCGATTTATATAGATAGACAACGCCATGCAGTGTACAATGAGAGAGTTTTTCCAGGGCAGCGGTATTGGTTTAGCCTACTTCCTGCACACATTGTAGGCTACATGAGAGAATTTTGCCACAACAACGGCTTACGCTTACTGCCTGTACAGTGGCATTAGCATACTCGTGGAAGCTGTCAAGAATTTTGTTGTTGAAGGATATGAGTTAAAATATATTATCATTTGATGATAATAGATCTAAAACAATTGGTTAATGTACAATGTCAGTTGGAATCTTTTGATCTGATCATGACATGTATAGACAATATAGATCTACCTATTACCATTATTTAATCCCGGTCAGTGGATTGCTTAGCTTGTTATTGTTGTAAACGTAAGTGGACTTCTACTTCCGGCTGTGTATCCCCGTCTTCATTAGCCCACATGGTGCAGAAAAGTAGGACGTAAAACTCCATTCATTTCATATCCGGTTGTGTATTGGGTCATTATCTGATAATCCCTACTTTTAAAGAACTTGTAAATTATATTCATAATTGTCGTCATACGTCATATTTAAGATGGCCGAAAAAATGGCGTTAACAATGACTTCAAAGGGCCATAATCGTCTAAATGACCGGCTGATTGTGCAAAATTCCAGCTACATTATGTCGTTCACCTACATTGTAATGAACTCAGACAGACAGATGTTAATACCATATGTTTCCAGGTCAATTTTAACAATTTCTCTACAGCAGTTATCACCTATAATGAATTCAAAGGTGATTTCTGAATGGAAGAATGTCAAGATAGATAGAAACATAGGTTGGGAAAGGCAGTGGCGTTTCTACGAAACATCAGGTGAGGGGGCCGAACCGGGGCCACACGATTTTCAAGAGGGGTCAAAGGCCATTCTTTCACTATGTAAAATGCTAAAAAAAATGAAAGTGGGACGGGGGTGTAGGGCAGCATCTTTTCTCCGGGGGCCAGGCCCAGAAACGGCATTGGGGCAAGGTCAGTTTTTTTTTGCATAAACAATATTTATTTACATAAAAGGATTAGGGAACAGGCTTTCGCCTATAGGACCCTCTCCCAAGATCAGTTGGTAGACAGGATCTTTAAGAAGTTGTAAAAAGACGTTTAGCGAGCATACACAGCTGATAGACAGGATAATCGGGACCTACAGTGTTATCTTAGAACAATATGGACCTGTATTTAACAGTGTAAAACAATGGAAAACATGTAAAATATCTTTATATATCAAAAGTTACATATAATTAGATATCGGCGTCCCTGAAAGAGGCCACACACTTTTCTCAACCTGTTGAGCTCGATTGAAAGCACGAGACGGAGATTGTGGTACAGTTGTCATTTCACTGATTCCGATTGGTTCCATGATACCAACGTGGTTCTTTTTTCCCAGAGAGCTAGCATTGGTAATTGCGTATCGGTTACTACGGTAACAGTTCATCGTCGACATGCAGAACACTTCTTTACAACCACGCCGGAAGTTGGAATTGTAACACAGATAAATCAGCGGTTTACTGACGCCATTACTCAGAACTAGCAGCGCCACGAACACAAATATCGTCGGATCGGTGAAAGCATTTTGATCAAAACAAAACCACAACTGGACGATATAAAAGGGCAGATAACTGAGAACGGACGTATAGGAAACTATTATTAACATTTTCACCATTTTAACCTTCGTCCTAGGAACAGGGTTTGTAGTTCTCTGAACTGGTCGAGGACCAATCTCCGTTCTCCAGATGTGTTTAAAAACTCGGGTATAACCTATTACCATGATAAGTAACGGAATGACAAACTGACAAATCACAATACACAGCGTATAAACTATCCCCGGCCATTCTGAAACCGGAATGTAGGTGGGACACACTTTAGTATTGCTCCGGGACGGCGAGTCTGTCACCTCAAAGAAATAAAAGTTTAAGCAACACAGAATTGCCGCGAATGCCCAACTAAATGCTATAAGTTTTTTGGCAGTGCCTCGGGTCACTTTGAAACTGAGTGGATAAATGATGGTATAAAACCTGTCTATACAAATGGACACCATGACAAAGATATTGGCACAAGGCACAAGATACTGAATGAAACGGACGAATTTACACAGAAGTGGACCCACTACCCATTTGTTGGTGGTGATACGAGAGGCTACTAAAGGCACACAGATTACGACTGCTGTTAAATCGGCACAAGCTAGAGACACAATGAAATAATTCGTCGTCGACTGCATTCGTCGACTTCGATGTATGACGACGCAGACAAGAATATTGCCGAGAACTGCTAGTATCCAGAGTATGACTAACGTTATTATTTCCAGGACTATTTGTCCGACTAAACGATCCTGGTCCAATCCGATCACAGATTGATCCGGTTTGTATACTGGGGTAGTAGATGTTGTGTTGGGAATTTCCGACATTTTTTACTGCCTTTTCCAATGTTGCCTGTTTCGTCATCATTTCACAACCACGTCATCATCATTACTGGAACGTCATTATGAAACATGACGCCACTGCTATTTAATCATGACGTCATCATCTGGAAAGCTGAAAATAAAGATAAATGTTAAATTAAATGGAATATGTGTAAAAACACATCGTTTCGACACGATAAATCTTGTCGTTATCAAGATCATACAATAATGTAATGTATATGGATTTGGTATAGCCTACAAATTCTGATTTTACTGATATAACATTCTTTTCAAGATTGGTCTCGTAGGATACCGAGATAAATTAACAGACGAGGATAGGTCAGTAAATATTACCTCAGTAAGTGAAATACAAAATCTATAACCTACAATCAGATAAAATACCCATTACAAAATTGACTATATTTACACCCGTCCCACTTCTTGTCCTTTTACATAAATGATAAAAAATGAAAAAAAAAAAACACGCACCAACGATCTCGAAATCCAAAATAACAGTTTGTCAGCATCAGACTTTTCCTATTGCAATACAAACATAAACTATATAGGAACACTTATTGTTCATAAACAGTCAACTGATACAGAATACCTTCAGAATATAAATGATAAAATCGATGACATTCATGCCCCTGCTAGTGGGCTACTTGTGCTAATGATGTAAATCCGAGACAAGCCTATAGAGCAGACGAGAGAAAGTCAACCCTGGAACTAGCGTCTGAATAAGATTAATAGAAATCTATTTATCAATCTCTGGCCCTATTGATCTAAACACTAATATAACTAATTATTATATTATTCAATAAATAAGCCTTTCAATGTTTGATCTGTTACCATGGAAACCGTTTGCCATTTTTTTTTTCATTTTCTATCAGCCATATTAATCAGTTGGTAAAGTTTTAAAATGTCCAATACACTGGCAACAGTTTGAAAAGTTTTTTTCTTTTTTTCTCTGATCTGGTGAAGTTTTAGTAACGAACATTAATTATGCCAGGCCTATCACACTGTTTTTTACTATGTGCTTTTTTCATTAATTTTTTTTTTATGCAATTTACGTTGTAAATAAAGTTTTCCGTCCAATGCTATCATTCAGTGTTTTTTAGAGAATAAAATATACATGTAAATCCACTTTTTTTTACATATTGAAATTGCTGGAATGTCCACATGATCCATTTTTTTACCATTTGTATACCTTAGAAAAGGCATTTTGTAGCGAATCCAATCAGTATCAGTGTTCAGAATCATCGTCGAAACTACCCTCAAATCCACGTGTGTCCAGAATAAAGCGCGTTTGAAAGTTAAAAAGACGAGTCGTATTTTCTTGAGACATAGCCATATATGTATGTATGTATGTATATATAAATAAAAAGTCAACTATAGATATAGAAAAAGAAATTTCTAAATTCAGATAGCTTTGATGGAATTAAGCGATTTTCTTACATTTCTGGTACTTTGGAAGACTCTTTACAAATATTCAAGATCCAAATACCCCCCCCCCCCCCCCTCCTCAAAATGGCGCACCTGTCTCTGCGGGTGCAACAACGTGAATTATTCTGATTTAGTAAGGATTGTTGATAACGTAAAGTAACTGTTTGCTACGACAATTAGTGGGTTATTTAAACCAGATGTAAAACTGTTCGTCCTGTCTCTAAACCTGTGATAAACAATGTATCCGGCTGTGACATGGGCATCGTGTCTAAAACTTGAATTTTCGATGAGGGTGTGTTTAAAACGACGATGCATCCCCTGTATGCCGTATGTTATTCATAACCCAGAGCAGGGGTTACAACTTCTTCCTTTCTATAAGCCCCTTCCTCTCTTTCATCGATTGTTTAGTATAGTTTTTACCATTTGTTATTTGAATATTTGTTTTATAGGATAGTTATGTATATGTCAGTTTTCTCCGGGTGATATCAGTGGCGTTTATTCAGGGGGGGGGGGGGGGGGGGGGGGGTGTTTCTGGGGGATTCCGCTCCCCCAGGACAAGAGGCTGATCCGGCGTTGGCCCCCACTTTCAATTTTTTTTTACTTAGGGTACGAATGGCCTGCACACCCCTGAAAATGTATTTGGCCCCTGCCACTGGGTGATATGAATAATGGTTTATATGGGTATATATGTCAGTTTACTTCCATTGTGAATACAGTCTGGAAAGCCTTTTTCTGACATTTTGTGATACAGGTGATAAGCTGAGAAACCATGGTGATCATGATAACGATTGTGAATATTGGCTATTTGATAAGATTCTGTTTAGTTCACACAGTTGTTGAGGATTATGAGAGGCATTCTGGCCTTTTCCTCGCCTTTTTTCCTTAATTTTCTTTGCTTTCTTACCTCCTCATATTTCTTCCTCGCTTTTTCGGGGCGAAAAGTCGCTTAAAGTTAGGGCCGCTCTGTAAATTTATGGTGAGAGATTGTATCTCTCATTTGTTTTGGTGAGAAATTGACCGGTGAGCTTGTCTGTTTAAAGAAACATCAGACATCACCTAACTCTGGGTTATATTCTTGAGAGTGGCCCACTGTTGTACTATTATCTGTTTATAGAAACACCAGACATCGCCTAACTCTTGGTTATATTCTTGAGAGTGGCCCACTGTTGTACTATTATATGTTTATAGAAACACCAGACATCGCCTAACTCTTGGTTATATTCTAGAGAGTGGCCCACTGTTGTACTATTATATGTTTATAGAAACACCAGACATCGCCTAACTCTTGGTTATATTCTAGAGAGTGGCCCACTGTTGTACTATTATCTGTTTATAGAAACACCAGACATCCCTTAACTCTGAGTTATAATCTACAGGATGGTCCACTGTTGTATTATTGTCTGTTTATAGAAACATCACACATCACCTACCTCTGGGTGGTTATATTCTAGAGAGTGGCCCACTGTTGTACTATTATCTGTTTATAGAAACACCAGACATCCCTTAACTCTGAGTTATAATCTACAGGATGGTCCACTGTTGTATTATTGTCTGTTTATAGAAACATCAGACATCACCTACCTCTGGATGGTTATATTCTAGAGAGTGGCCCACTGTTGTACTATTATCTGTTTATAGAAACACCAGACATCCCTTAACTCTGAGTTATAATCTACAGGATGGTCCACTGTTGTATTATTGTCTGTTTATAGAAACACCAGACATCCCCTTACTCTGGGTTATATTCTAGAGAGTGGCCCACTGTTGTACTATTATCTGTTTATAGAAACACCAGACATCCCTTAACTCTGAGTTATAATCTACAGGATGGTCCACTGTTGTACTATAGCCTGTTTGTTTATAGAAACACCAGACGTCACCTAACTCTTGGTTATAAAATAGGGGGTGGTTTATTTGAATGTGTTCCCCCAGGTTTTCTTGGGTGCCGTGTATTCGAGTTCCCATTCAGAGTAACAAAAGACTTCGATTGTCGGTTTAATGGTGTCGATTTACAAACCCATTACACATGCAGTTATTTAGTTCTAAATTTTTAAACAGACAAACAGCTATCTTCCTTATCTAAGCACCATTTGTCATTAATGTCGGAGATTTTATAACAGGACTGATGTAGGCCTCCATTTCAATTATTTCTCAAATAAATCTCAAATATAACTAAACTCTGACAGCATCGGTGTCCTCTGTTGGATATTAACGAGGCTATATCTTCAATAACAAACCTGAATATTCGAATTGCCCAGAGACATAATACATAGCTTTCAGCACTAAATGATAGTAAAAACGCCATAAATTAGTACGTGAAACGACATTAAAAACAAGGAATCGCTCGTTTGAAAGATATTCCTTCATATTCCAATGTTACCTGGAGGAATTCGACCATGGAATACCAGGCGAATATTTTACAAACAAGGAATATGTGGTTGAAGTATACAATTATTTTTGAAATTACCTACCTTCACAGCTTATAACCCTGTCAATAACACCACAAGTCTTTAACTGTTTATTATCTGATATGAACGGTTTAATCAATATTCATAACGGCCTACCTATCCTCCCTAATACACTATAATCAATAGGCTCGTCCTATCGCTGACGTCATTAATTACAGGTATACAATCTGTTGGTGCCAATGTCTGCGCTATGCCAGTGACCGAAAATACCGGGGGTTTCGCTGGTGCTAAGGGGGTTACGTGAACGTGAAATGAAATGGAGTTTAAAGTCTTACTGTTCTGCTCCGAATTCAGCAATTAAAACAACACAAGCGGTGTGAAATTAGCGAATTTAACAGACACAGTTCTTAAAGGTTTAAGCGAGCCATGCCATGGGGGTAAGGTCAAAAGATGGTATGGTAAAATGAAATGGAATTTTACTGGTCTGGTTCCAATTCGACAAATGAAAGTGGACATTGCAAAACAGTGTGCTAAAAGTGTTTTTTTTTTTACAGGTCAGTCACAGTTTTGAAAAATCTATTTTAAGTGAGCAATTCCAATTAAATTAACACATTTTGAAGTAATATGGTGTTCCTGTACAGGTAAATGACCTGTTCCACCCACCTTAAAGCATTGGCGGGTGAGGAGCAGAGGCTGCAGCAGCTCCCCTCGCAGACCCGAAAGCAAGTTTTCGGGCAAAAATCCCATAACTAGGTTAAAGATTTCGGCAATCTCATATAACTTGCCCACCTCGCCCCCTCTCAGACGTAAACCTGGCTCCGCCACTGCCTTAAAGTATATATATACATGTATATGTAACAAGTATAATAATAATCGTCAATGAGTTTTTTCCAGATTAGCCGATATTTAACAGTATATCTCAGAGATTAACACATTAGACAATTTTAATTAAACCAAACAGCAATATCGTCGCTCTTCCAGCCTACGGTCTCTTGGTCGTTTTACCAGCTGATAGGGCTGATAGGGCCACTTTACTCCCTACTCGTACAACCTCCAAGAGTGAAAAATTTATGGGTTTTTTTAGATCAGTTGAACAGTTTTACATTTTTTGCCATTAATCGTCAAAAACATCTAGAAGCCAAGAATTTGATATCTCTAATTTTTTTGTATTTCATGTTATCGAGCACCATGAGGAAACTAAAGTCAGTCAAAGCTAACAACAAAATGAAAATCGAACAACTCGACGTCTAGTCGCTAAACATGGCATGGGTGTTACCATGGTAACAAGTTTATATACATGATTGGTTTTTATATAATGGATTAAATACCATCGTTTTTAAACCATAATATACAGCTTCTAAATTAATCAGGAATTAATTAAGAATGGTGTAGTTTACAATAATAGTTGACTTAAAGGGATAGGCCAAAATTAACTTATAAACCGACAAGGTCTCTTTTTGTTTGGCAAAACAATGAAGAATAATGAAATAAGGGGCGCAACTCGTGCCTTCAAGACTAGGTCAGTTCTTCAACCAGTGAGCTAGACTTACTAATTGTAATACTACGAAACTTTGGCTTGTCTAAAGACTTACACGGATTCTCTCCCTTATGCGTAGAGTACATGGTTCCCCCTCATACCGAGTAAATCCATCATCTTTTCTTGTGGACTAAAGGAAATCTGACATCACGTGTTAAAATATACCTGGAGTAGGAGAAAGTAAGTGATGTTTTAGACAACGTCCTTGGCTCTGCTACACCATATAATATAATATAAATATACAAAATGTTAGACAAAACGCGTCGCCCGAACACAACTTGCACTTGATAGTACACTGGAGTTAACCAGGGTAATATGTATTGTTTCTTCTCGGGCAAGAGACCTTTTCTGCAAAGGGGTGCAACTCGTATCTACATGGTCCATTCAACCGACAACCATTGAGCTGGACTATTATGTTTTTGGAGGCTGTTAATAGACAAATTTACGGACTTAAGAAAATTCTCGGAATACAAGAGAAATATATCTCCTACTAGTTCTGTATATATCAATTTGAACTATAAAGCCGTTTAAAGGCCTAACACAAAAACTATTTTAAACTGCTTAATTAATAATAAGATCACTTTCCATTAAAAAAAAGTCTGATTCATCAAGTACAACATAAAAATAAATCTAAACTCTACAATGTTTTCAATTATGATTTTGCATGGCTTCTACTGCCTCTTTAAATGTTGGTCAACTCTATTCCGATTTTCTAGTCTTTGTATGTGTACCAGCTTCTATTTACACCATTCTGATTTCCTAGCCTTAATATGTGTATCAGAGACACTTTTAGCTTCTATTTACACCTTTCTGATTTCCTAGCCGTAATATGTGTATCAGAGACACTTTTAGCTTCTATTTACACCTTTCTGATTTCCTAGCCTTAATATGTGTATCAGAGACACTTTTAGCTTCTATTTACACCTTTCTGATTTCCTAGCCTTAATATGTGTATCAGAGACACTTTTAGCTTCTATTTACACCTTTCTGATTTCCTAGCCTTAATATGTGTATCAGGGACACTTTTAGCTTCTATTTACACCTTTCTGATTTTCTACTCTTTGTATGTGTATCAGAGACACTTATAACTTTTATTTACACCATTCTGATTTTCTACTCTTTGTATGTGTATCAGAGACACTTAGAGCTTCTATTTACACCATTCTGATTTTCTAGTATTTGTGTGTGTATCAGGGACACTTTTAGCTTCCATTAACACCTTTCTGATTTTCTAGTCTTTGTATGTGTATCAGGGACATGTATAGCTTCTATTTACACCAATCTGATTTTCTAGTCTTTGTATGTGTACCAGGGACACTTATAGCTTCTATTTACACCATTCTGATTTTATAGCCTTGGTATGTGTACCAGGGACACTTAAAGATTTTCTATTCTTTGTATGTGTACCAGGGACACTTATAGCTTCTATTAACACCATTCTGATTTTCTAGTCTTTGTATGTGTACCAGGGACACTTATAGCTTCTATTAACACCATTCTGATTTTCTAGCCTCGGTATGTGTACCAGGGACACTTATAGCTTCTATTAACACCATTCTGATTTTCTAGTCTTTGTATGTGTTTCAACGACATCTGGAAAAACCCCTTTTAATACTTTTCAAAGAGAACTGTCTGCAATATGAATTGTATAGTGTACAAACCGATAGATAGTAGTATATCATCCATCTGTATATTTAGGGCTACACATTTATTTTAGTTCATTGTTGCTTCTCTATCACTGACATGCTATACTAAATATTGGTTGTAGTCTTAGTTTCATGATATATACAGAGTTGTCGGCCATTATTTGATAGCAATAATATCCTGGTTTCCAAACTGGGAACATTGAACCAAACTTATGATTACGATTAGCTCTAATAAAATTTTACAATTTACATATTTTGGGGGTGTAAGGTTATCATATGATTGCTTTAAGGTCGTGAGGGCTATAAACGATCGGAAACCACTTCACAAAGGGTATTTTTCAGGGTTTTTTTTTTCTCAGCCTAGGATACTAGTTCCTTTCGGTGGTGTCATTTTAAACAATAAACATCTGTATCTGAAAATCCTCGTGGACGATTTTAAAGGGACAGGTAGGCCATTTTTGACCAATCATGCTTTAGTCTCAGAAACCGGAATTGTTTAGCTGAGCTAATCAGTAATAGTGTTCACAGCTCACCATCGAAATTTGAGCTTTTATATCCATGTGTGTCCAGAATTATCTGCCTTTGAAAGATAAAATGACAACCGAAAAAAATATCGGGCAGACATTTAGTGTTTTCGGGTGATGCTCTAAAAATAATAAAGTTCTGAAAGAAAATCCAGAGTAAACCAGGAAAAATACAGATAAATTTTTGGGGAAAATTTTGGGCAAACCAGGCTGCCCCCAACAGGACTTCGGCCCGTACACCTATGGATTCAACAATGACATACCAAGATACCAATTTGGTGGATTTTGATTATTGGCTGTGTGAGCTAAGATCCGTGTCTTGATAACATGACGAATTTTGGGATAGTGAAACCAAAAGAAGGTCATATGACAGCCTCTTTTGGTTTCGCTATCCCACAATTCGCCATATTAACGGAACCTACATGACACGTTTTGATTATCATCAGACCCCGATTTTGATAAACGGAATTGTCTTGCTTGTAAAGATTTTTTGTTTTTATTCCTGGCAAGGCCGAAACGATACAACATACAGGCAAACAGATAGCCGAAAGCGTCTATCTGTAGCATGCTCAAGTATTATTATCATATAACAGTTCGTGACGATTCGAGGAAAATTGGCTTGATTAACTTTTGTTTAGCCCTCATTGTGGTTTGTTTTAGTTTAACTTCCTTCAGGCTCTTCAGAAGATCTATACACGATGCAGATCCGAATCTAAATCTACAGACCACAGATAGCAGTTCAAAACGGTCAATAACCAGACCAGATGTTCCTTAAGCATAATATATCATAAACTATTGATTAGTTGAGAAACAAAAATGAATATTTTGAAAAAATGTTGGCAAAATTACAGGGTATTTTTAAAGATTGTTCGGAAAATTTTCAATTTTCTTTTTAGATATTCCCTATTTAGATTATTTAATCAGATTTGTAAAAATTTCATTATTTTTGGAATTTATATTAAGTGAAAAAGAGTGATTGTGTGAGAGAATGTAGCCTGATGCCAATGATATTATTTGGTAAAGCTATAATACAGGGCATCCATCCCTGGCTGATACTGCCATGGCGATCTATATCATCGTGGCTAGAGGAAGGTGGAATAATATATCTTCAGAGGAAAATATAACCAAATACCACCATATAATCGGTATACAACCATTTAGTGCGAAAAAATCTGCCTGGAGTAGAGTCAGAAGAAAAATACCCTATTAAATGGGGATTAATTAGTGTTGGGCATCACCGTAACTTTCGTTTTATTAGTATCACGTGACTCTGCACTGAAAAAAATCTTGTAATATAGACACATCACTTGTGTATTAACTTGTGTTGTTTCAACACAATATTTTTTTCAGTGTGTGGCCTTTGAACATTTGACTGCGTACGCAGTTTTAATTGGCTGATGCTAGATCAGTGTGATAGAATCAGAGACATGACATAAATGGTGTAGGGAGAAAATGATATGATTGAACTACGAAAATATTCATCTTTCCAAATATATCTGTTTTTTCTGTCTCTACACCAGCTGAAAACTGTCCAAATAGCTATCAATTGCTGGAATAGAGACAGATGTTTCGGTCTAACAACCATTTATCATCAAATGGCAAACGTTGAGTACTTTTGAAAAATATTAGAACTTAACATGTTCAACAAAGCTGACACTCTATGCAAGTCAATGCAAATCATTAACTAGATCCTTTCATGGTTTTGAACATACATGTACATGTGTTAGAGACTCACCGTTGGTATCATATAGCTTTTTCTAGATAGGGCATAGCGCATGAAGATAGCTCATCCAATAGCCGACGTTTGTAGAAAATCTTAAGTAGGTGGAATATTCCTGGAATATTCCATAAAAAGTAATTTCGGATTCCATAAATCTTGAAATTTTCAAAAGCTGTGACAGCACGAGTTTCGGAAACGAACATAAAACGACAAGAGAAAAATAATTTATTGTCTTTTATTCTTATTCATACGTACAATAGATTTACGGTTGGAGGCAAATGCCACACGCCCCGTTGTAGTTTCTTTGAGGCATGCCACTTCGTCTTATACCTTGAGCATACCTTGTATCACGGAGTGCGGTGATTTGATTGGATAGTACGGTGGCGATTACAGCCAATCAGAGCTATTGACAGAAAGACAGTAAACATTACGGTTTACCATTTTCAGACGTTCCGCCGAGGGCTTTATTTTGCTGTATTCACTAGCGTACTATCCAATCAAATCACTGCATTTACAAAACTATGTGATACAAGAAAGGTGGCTATTGTAATCAAGGTACAATGTTTTTAATACCATGACAATTGTGAAGTGGGAGCACACTAGGCATCGGTTTATTGTCACATCTGAACAACCATAATATCTTAACATGACTCAATATCACGGAAAGTAGTAAACCGGGTTGAAATATCCATTGGATATTAAATGCTTGCTTCCTGTTGACCAACCGGCACTGACATGAAAAAAAGCGTTCACTGACTGGCACTGAAAGATATAATCTTAAAATCATGCATTCTCTGTTGAATCTGATTGGTTGTAAATCCGAAATGTGTGAGGCAAAATTAGCCTAGAGCTTTCGTGTGCATCACCTTTCAGTATTTTTTTAAACAATATTTTCATTCATAAATTATATATATTATATAAGCAATGGTTTCAGAAACAAACCGAAGCTCATTTTAATCCGTTATTATGGACACTACGGATATTGATATTAAGCTCAAGGTAGCGATAAATTAATTAATACCGGATTAAACTAACTTCCAAATAAGAGGACAAGCAACACACAAATTCTGATAAAGCAAAGCCTTGATGCTTATTATAAGACGAATTAATCCCTTACCTCTAAAAAAAAGACGCACACAACGGATCGTATTAGAAGTAAGGCGAGAAATATATATTTTGCGCAACTATCTTTAAATTATTCTCGAAATATGTTCTTGTCACATAAAAAGAATTCAAAGAAATAAAATCGGTATTTCAAATAAAGGCACAGAATATTTTTTAACGTTTTGATATTTCTAGTTAATTTTTTTTCTTTTGACTCTTTTAAGAAGGTTTTCTAACCAAACCCGAAGCAAGCACAATTTCTACTTTAATGCTAGAAAACGTAAGCAGATATCGGCTGTTCACTATTACAAGCACCATTTTGGTAAGCCTAACAAGTCTGGATCTACCCAGTTTCTCTGTCGTCATATTCAGATGAGATATCAGAACTGGGTTTAAGACCAGACATATTTCAATGTCCATTTTAATGGGAGTTGCTGTGACCCATTTTTGGGTCGCTGGTTTTGAGAATTTTCACCATGACAAGAGCTCATTTTGGCAGAACGTTTTGTATACAAAGCTGTAACACTATTCTAGAATGTCCCTGTGCCCCATATGGTACCAAAATAGGTCGGAGCAGTTCCCAAGAAAATTGGCATTACATGTATGGCCCTTATATGTCATTCGAATATCACGTCAGAGAAACCAGATGGCCAGGTGTGTCGGCCAACATTTTGGTATATCACCCCGAATCTTCCATGAATAATTCTCCTAGCACACTGAAAAACAATAGACTTACCTTAATCGGATATTAGCCTGATTACCTGTAATGAACCGCGATATTTAAAGGTCGGTGGGTGTCAATCAATGTACCTTTTGAGTCCGAGACAAGTTGGAATCCATTTTAAAGGTCATTCATCGTAATAATGATATCATTTCAGTCTTCAATATAACTACGTATGGTTCTTACACGGAAATAACACAAGGTAGGTAGTTTCGTATTTTCAGTTCCTTCATAATCAACGTTAATAGTACATGTCATTCATTCATTCATTCATTCATTTTATTCATTTAGGAACCATAAAGGCGCAGGTACTCAAAAATTACTTATTTATTTATTCTTTAATAACTAATGACCTTGACCTGGCAAATTCATTATTCAATGGACGATTCTTGTATGATTACTCCTTACAAATGGTTCAAAGATCACTTTCATAGTATAAATAGTTCATATAAATATAAAACTACTAGGGCATCTTCACAAGCGATAAATATATTATGGACTCGTCACAGAATTCAAAAGAAAGTAACATTTACCGATAATGGACCATTAGCAGAAGAAAGAAACTCACCAATTAATAATTAACAGAACAGACGTCAAAATTAAAAGACTGTCACGCAGTCAAATGACTGTCACGAAGAAAATGCCTAATATTGACATCTGGGGCTAAAAATAAAGGTAAACCGGAAGTGGAACTCGGGGTCAATGCAAGCATATCACCTTTTAAATGAATGAATCGTAGGATTGTATAGGTATCTCTATGTTTAAAGGACGACAATCCATATGAGTAAATCATTGGAAATGCCTTGTATTACTTCAAGAAGAGAACATAAAACACTTTGAAATGAGAAAGAAAAATTAAAAAAGAAAAATCATTTCTGACCCAAGACAGTGTAAAATCAACAAGTTTTCATGTGATTTCTCCATTGGTCAATGCAAGAGACGAAAACCTATAGATTAGAAATTAAAACCATCTCGTCAACCACCAATTTTCAACCGGGAGGTAATTACTCTCAAGAGGTAATTTTGAACTTTTTGGGGGTTAATAAGGCTGTTTGGAATCTAGCTTAAGTTGTTCCATTCACTTATGTTATATTCACGAAATAGTAGGGTTTTTAGTTGGGGAGAGGGAGCTTTCTCATTATTGCATAATTAGTATTATATTCCTGTAGTTTTGTCTTATATTCAGAAGTTGTTGTTTCCAATACGAGACTTCCCAATTCATGATATCTACCAGACAAGACTTGTATCTTCTTATATTCAGAAGCTGTTGTTTCCAATACGAGACTTCCCAATTCATGATATCTTCCAGACAAGACTTGTATCTTCTTATATTCAGAAGTTGTTGTTTCCAATACGAGACTTCCCAATTCATGATATCTTCCAGACAAGACTTGTATCTTCTTATATTCAGAAGTTGTTGTTTCCAATACGAGATTTCCCAATTCATGATATCTTCCAGACAAGACTTGTATCTTCTTATATTCAGAAGTTATTGTTTCCAATACGAGACTTCCCAATTCATGATATCTTCCAGACAAGACTTGTATCTTCTTATATTCAGAAGTTGTTGTTTCCAATACGAAACTTCCCAATTCGTGATATCTTCCAGACAAGAATTGTATCTTCTTATATTCAGAAGTTGTTGTTTCCAATACGAGACTTCCCAATTCATGATATCTTCCAGACAAGACTTGAGAAGATGTCGACCGTTCAATGGCCGATAAATATTTTCTTAAATAATCTACGACGAGTTACTAGTCCATAGATCGGCTAAACATTTTCTTAAAAGCTTTGAATGGAAACGATGAAGGACTCTTGAGTGCCGATTGAAAAGGTTTTTGCCGGATATTCCAACAGATTGAGCGGTCGATTGTTATCATTAGACGATTTTAAATGGCGGTAAAAGGGTCAATGGTTTAAAATAACTGAAGTTTCTTTCCTTTATTGATAAATAGACAGTCAGATACTATATGCCAATTTGTAACGTTACGATTATTATTTTGTGGTCGTAAGTGCTCTTAAATGTGCTAATTTTCACAATTACGGCCAATTTGTTCTTTATGAAACGGGATCTGTAAATCGCTCGATTGATGGGTTCTGCACGTTCGGGATTCATGACACAAGAAACAAGTCGGAACAGGGTTCATAATCGGAACAAACGGAACCTGTTCACCTCTCACCAATCAAGCTCCACACAGACTGGTGTCGTTCCTTTTACTGTACAGATAAACGTTATTTGTTGATAACTGACTTGCTCTATGTCTATAGCCTGCACCGGGAACGGGTCCTGAACCTGGTTACTCAGCAAGCCTTTTTTTACTGAGCTACTGTGGATCTGGAATTTCTCGAAGACGTTAAGAGTGTGATATAAGACGATAACGATGAAATGATTCGGTAATAAAAAAATAAACCAATCAGTGATGAGCTCTTATAAGATCTTAATAAACACTTCACCACGATAATCGTCTAATGTCGTAAAATGTTAAAATTACTCAACAAGTTTTTACGGAACCTGGACAATCTGTCCTGGAAAACTTCAGGAACTCTTGTAGTCAGGGACGTATCTAGACAATGCTAGGCGAGGCCCGAATTGACGAATCCACTTGAGTCCAGTGGTCTGTGGTCTCTCAACAGATGGCCTGAGAATAATATTGAGCATTAAGAGAGCTTAATTATCACTTCAAAATTGACCTTTTAAGGTGGGCATGGCTGATTGGCCCACCCCCTAAATACGCCACTGCTTGTAGTTAACATTGGGTTATCACTAAACAAAAGGTTATCGCAGTTGATAGCTAAAAGTCACAGGCATCCGTTAAATTTAATATAGTTACCCGGATATAGATTTTCTGTTGCCTTGTTGAAAGTGGGTTTAAAAATATTTTGAAAATTACTGGTTATATGTGTTGTCCCACACAATGTAAGCGAAATTAAATTTATATAAAAGACATAAGATGTCCCTCGAATGACTGAATTCCAGCAACACCCTCTGACTCGAACTGATATCATTTCCTTAAATTACGAAACCAAGGGCCTTATTCTCGAAAATTTGATTTTAAATTCTGTTTTGTTATCAGAATACTGTATCTAGAGTTTAGTTTTGGAGAATAAGGCCCCGGATGGCTTATTTTGAAAAAAAGGTTTAGTGATTTAGATGTAGTTGCAACTGATGGATTTTTTTTTATCTCATTCTCGTTTTGACATTCCCTTTTTTACCTTGAGGGCCAGCCTTACAATTAAAATTTAACACAAATCAACCTTTAGTTTGGATAATTTGAATATGCATTTCATTTTTTTGTCGCTAATCCCTAAATACAAGACCATGTAATAAGAGCTGATAGGATACTATATCCAACAGGGTGTGATCACTTATAGATAAAAATGCGTTTTATTGAACACAACGTTTCAACAATTTACATTGTCATTATCAGTTTATATTGTATACTACTCCTGAGTTGTATTGTACACAAAGTTTCAACGATTTACACTGTCATCATCAGTTTATATAGAATACTACTCCTGAGTTTTATTGAACACAAGGTTGCAACAGTTTACACTGTCATTATCAGGTGTATCAATGGCAAAGCTGTGAAGTCCGATGTCGAAATACTCACAATATTGTTGTTTTCGACGCCTAATGGTACTACCGACGTCAGGTAGCGCCACTGAACCGACATGTGAAAAAATCGAAAACCCCAAAAATGCACGTAGTAGTAAGGAGTGCGATCAACATAAGCCTTTACACATGTGATAAGTGATAAGAGCGTTGTTTCTATAACTACACAAGGGAGCCCGCTTATTGGTGTCACAAGAAGTCTCCTGTCTACAACGAGGATGGTCTCTTTCGTCGTAGTTGTGCGTTGATGAAAATGGCCTGAATGTCAAAGGGTGTTCAACGCAAAACTGGTTACTAGGTCAGACGCGAAGATTCGTACAAGGCGCCAAGACTAGTGTTATGTGACGACAGGGAGGGTATGAGGCGTCAAACTGTGTCTATAATTTTACTAGGTTATAATTTACCATACTATTACGTGGGATATACCTACACCCATAAATACCAAGTATTCCTTTGATATGTAATAATAATAAAGATATAACAATAAGATTCCCTACCTTTTAGTCTTTGTGACAGTTATTGATTAAAACATATTTACACGACTTCAGAATTGAGATATTTTATTCATCAAGTATCGAACAATAAAAGAAATTAAATAACGGAACACAATTGTACGGTATACTTCTCCTTAGTTTTATTACACACAACGTTTCAACAATGTACATTGTCATTGTCAGGTGATGATGACAATGTAGATTGTTGAAACGTAGTGTGTAATAAAACTAAGGAGTAGTATACCATAACATTGTGTTATTTAATGCGATCTCTACCAAAAAATGTCGCTAAAGGATTGATAAAAAAAAATGTTTTCGATGCTCGTCTTCCTTCTCTAATCTCTCATATTCTAATAATGAATGAAAAACGGGGTAATATTAAGATTAACTCGACGTCTATATCAGAGGCAGCTTCACAAAAACTTAACTAAAAAATATATAGGTAGAAAATTAAAGTCAAATCTATACCTGTGTCATATCTATATCAGGGGCCATTTCATAAACATTTTACTGAGGAAATACCTAATGTAAAATGATAGGGCCTTTAAGTACAGTTATTTAAAAACAAGTCAAGTTATCAGCTCGGATGTCGAGAAACAGGCTCTCGTTCATCCTCGCCCTTGACACAAATTATCAAAAATGAAAATCAGTACACGGATACGGAATCAGTGTCCAAAATTATTCTACAGGATTGATCATACAGACTGTATAAATAATGTTTTAAACTGTTAGAATACCTCTAAAATGAAATATCATTCATTTTTGTCAAATTTTATCTTTTAACTTATTCAAATTCGATGTAAATGCGCATTTTCCGAAAGAAAAAAAATTCTCTGGAATTTGAGATTATCTAGCGTAATTGCTATGAAAAGAATGCATACCGCACCCTAAAATAGTTAAACAATATCATTTGATTAGCCGGAAGTGACCGCTTCCGACCATGTCATTGCATCGATTTCATAATAATGAAATTCCTACACGGTGTTAAAAAGGTTATGTCAATACTTTTATCCCCTTCTTTTTGAAGAACGGTATGAACTCAGTGCGCAGGCGTCATATTCTTTCTTCTTAATAAATTTTGACGTCGTAGTTTTA